CAGCACACCAACAAAACCTAATATTACAAATGAATCCCTATTGAATGAAAGCTCACTTCTTTTCGCAGAACTCCGCCAGAGCACTTTGGACACTCCAACCCTTCGCGACACCATCTTAACAGATGTGTCCTCGTGCTGAACTCACAGACGGGGTCATCGCATCTACAACAATAAAAATTATCATTGTTCTACTAACAATATCAATTAACAGTAAAAAAAATAAAATCAACAATAAATAAAAATAATTAAAAAATGATTAACAAGGGATGAATAAGAAGCCAATCAGAACATACTTGAAAGGAGCTATGAGGTGTTTTGCGACAAACTCTCTTAACGAGATGCTAAGTCGGTTGCAGATGTAGGGAATGTAGTGCGCCAATTCCACATCACACTTCTCACATGTTTCTAACGACAAGCGCAACCCTGACTCCTGAAACCGACTCCATTTGATTTATACAATCGTAATTGTCGTTACCAGTCGTGGAGTTGATTTTAAATCCCGAGGAACGCTAATACTAGTTAAGAGAAACTCGAAATTTCTGGTGCGCAGTTCGGCTTAGAAGGGGACACCAGATGGCACTCAGTTGAGCTTGTACCGGCCACTTGCGTACCTGTAATTTCCTGTGACCAAAATAGCTCACTCGAACAATTTCGCACCTTCACAGGAGTTCACAGGTCCGATGAAAGTGAACTTTGTCAGTTAAGATGAACTGAGAAAAGGAATGAGCAGTGCAAAATTTCGGCACTGACAAACCAAGTCTATGCAGCGCGATAATTCTTGCCTTCGTTAAAAACTCGGCCAAACAAGGTATGGCTAAAAAGTAAAAGAAAACAAGCAGGAATGAATGAGTTGTGTCTTTATAATTCTGACGTCTCTTTCTCGCCTATAATTCTCGAAGAACAGCGTCCAGCGAAAGAAGAAAGGAAGGAAACGAAGAGGTTATCCAGAAAGCTTGAGGTGCGCAGAACTTCACAGAGGATCGGAAGAAAAGCCCAAATTTCAAAAAACTCACCTGATTGTCGATGGCTTTCCTAATATTAATGTGATTTCCGCAACCTGTTCTTGGACATACGAACGATAGCGATTCACAGTGATCGTAGGTGACTGGGAGCATTCCATGCCCATTCGTCTTCAACAACTGCGTTATCGGAGGCACGAGCAGCGGCCGAACGGCGATATGACGATGAATCCATGCCTGGAAAATGACCGTATCTCGATTGGAGATTGCAACAACATATGTTTGTTTTAGCTATGCTTGCATGCCCTTCTAACAGTCTAACACAAGTCCGACCTTCGCAACTACTCAGTTTTTCTTCTTTAGCAATCAAAACCCAGCTCCCTATCAAGCCCCACTTGCATCATATTGGCTTTAATTGATGAATGAGTATTCTGCTAGGTTTTGCTTTACTAATTTCTAGGGCACACTATTATAGTGTAAAATAAATAAAAATGTGTTGAGTTAGGGGTTCTCAAACACAACACGCTGAGGATCCCCAGCAATGGAGGGGGTCGTATTTGGTCAGCTGTGTGGAGGGGAATCGTATTTGCCTCAAACGTTTTCAGTTACTGACTTATCTCGGTTTTTCTTGTCCAGATGCGCTACATCCGCTCTGCATCCCTCCGGACGGCAGATGGGGTCACACCAGAAGAGGAAGTATCGAGGGGGGGTCTCCCACACGGCAAGACATCCTCACTTCCGGGATGTTCAAGTGTCGTAGCGTAAGCGCTGAATGTGCTCTTCTGCAGCGAACGGTTCAAGTGAGTAATGAAATCTCAGAACACATTGCAAAGAAGTTCGCAGTGGCCAAATAGTATTTGACTCGAATGACTCGACGAACAATCTAGAAACTGCATCGCGTCAAAATCGCTCAGTTGAAGTAAGAAAGTTTGCACTTTGCGTCAGCATTTTGAGCGCACATCAGCCTTCAGCAGTGAGCGTCAGCGTTTTGAGTGAAATATAGGCATCGTTTAGCGTTTTGAGTGTGGGCCAGCAAAACCTTTGATCGAAAACTTTCACTTTCTTAGTTCGCCCAAATCGCTGACGCAAAGTATGCACGCACTCTAAGGGCCATATTCTGAGAGAGAAAGAGTTTGTCCGCTGGCCAAGCCAGGTGAAAACAACATTTGTAATTAGAAGCACACGCGATACGGCGCCGCGAGATCCCATCCAACTACTCCGTGTCATTACTTGTGTCCAAAAAGTTATAGAAGTCCAAATGAGTTAGAACTTACCCAAGGCTTCCGCAAGCCGTACGGCATCCGTTTCTTCGATCGGAGCACACAACCGTGATACAACGGGATGGACCTGCTGGGCTAGGTAGTAGTGCAAATCTGAAATGATCACAAATGCTCAAGAGAATGTGATCTCCTTCAGTACTAAGCGGTAAGTTCTCGAACACCCACCGATTTTCAAATCGGGATTTGACTCCAATTCTGTCCGATGGTAGGCTCGTTGCATAGCGGAGTTTGTAGTGCCATCCTGTGAAAGATAAATAAAATTCACATTATACAACCCTAGCGAATACAAATAACGATTCCCTAAAAAGGAAAGATCGGTAGAGATCAGGTCCTATTTAGGGCAACCTAAGACCTGCTGATGTGTGAGGGAGAAGAGGAAAATTCTTGACCAGAAAGCTAACAACCTAACTCTCACATCAAACCAGAACATAGGTAGCCAGACAGGATCTGGTATTAGGACCTCCGCCCATTTTTTTTTCTTTCGAGCACGGCTGTCTTGCCATTCAAAATACCCATTTTCGAAAATTTCAATGGAATATACATTGTCCTTGTCTTTCGAGACTAGCCATAGTAGAAAACCTTCTCACTCACTTCACATATAATATATTCGACGATATCTCCATGTCGCAAGGAGAACTTCCCAGTTTCATTCAGTCTACATGCGACTGCTGCATGAGGCTGTGATTTCAAATCGTGATAGTCCTTCGGATTACGTGTGAGTTGCTATAAATACCAATTTTAGCCCACTTATTTCCTCAACCGTTCTATAGGAATGCTTCTGTGTTGGTGTCCTGCAAAAATTACCTTGCTTATTTCGAAAAGTTTTGTATCGACGCCTTCATCCAGCCTAGATCGAAGCCGTTGAAGCGATTCATGGATCTCTGCCACCAGCTCATCACGCGACAGGTTAGGATCGAGAATTAGATCGACCACAGCGCTAAAATCGAAGCATTAAGAAGCAACTACCAATGGAAATTGTTCAATAAAACCTTACTTTCCAGCCTCCTTTGCCAGTTGAGACCAATCTCTGCGCACTATATC